ATACCAGCACTCACCGGCAAACAGGTCATATTCTCCTCCTCTCAAGCGTACAGGGTGCCTGTGCACGTAGGAGAGCACTGAATTACTCTGTCCCTATCTCTATCAGGGACTGACAGCACAGTGAAGAAAGCACATTCCAGTAAATACATAAATAATTCAGCCAGTATATAACAGCACAGGGCTTTAAATGCTATAGATGTGACTATCTTCCAACACCAGCTCAAAGCAGGAGCTGGTAGAGTTGTGGTGGTATAAAATCAATGAGCTAACCACAGGACATCTTCATCACATCTGCATGGCCAGACTCACACCCCAAAGGCTGTCCCAGCACAGCTGTGTCCTTCCGATGGTTCCCAGCGTGAGTAGCCCAGAGCGTGGCTGAAACTAAGTCTTTGGTTTGCCAATTTTGTGTCCGTCTTTCAGAGGAAGAAAAAAACCTCAAACCAGCTCAATGCCCTTGTTCAATGTGTGATTTGGATGCATTGGGTGGGAAGGAGCCCTGGCACCAGGTCAGGCAGCCCACAAGTGGCCACAGCAGTTCGCTGTGATTGCACAACACATTACAACAGCAAAGTGTTCATTTTATCTGACTGTGAACAGGAGGAGTTGGGGCCAGGGGGCGAGTCGGGGACACCGGGAGTGATGCTGGACATGTGATTGCTCAAGTGGGCGTTGGTTCAGCAGTGGTTTCTTTTCCCATGTCCCTGTGCCATCACTCTCAGATGGGTTGTTACAGTACCCAGCAACACAACCACAGTCAGATACAGCTGATAAACCCTTTCAGAACCACACTCAGGATGTCACATAAAACCAGGGAAAAAATTCATATCTCCAAGCCCAGATATTCCCGATTTATCCATCCCTAAACACCAAGAGGCTTTTAACCCCAGGGAAAGCGCTTCTCCAGCTGCAGGGTAAGCACAAAACTGGCAGCGAGGAGCTTGACATCCCGAGCTTGTCCAGCTCACACCTCTTATCTCTCCTCTCCTGTGTCACACAGAATCCTCCCCCAGTCCTTTCCCGCTGGGCTCCCTGCTCCCTGCGCTTGCTCTGCTGCTGCTGCTCCCTGCCAGGACACTTATCCCTGCCACGGCCGGTCAGCAGGGAATTTCCTCCCGCCGGAGCAGCGCTCACGTGGCACCCAGCCAGGGAAACCAGCTCCAGGCCGGTGCTGCCAGCAGCCTTTGCCAAAGAAGCAAGGGCTTTCCTGGGTGCAGGGGCTGCGAGCTGTGCTGGCTTCACAGGGAAAGGATGCTGCTTCTCAAGAGGTGTTAAAAACCAAACCAACATGGCTCAGGTTAAAGAGAAACAGATTTTTTTTTTCTCTCTCGCTCTTTCTTTCATGAATTAAGTTGTTGGAGGAACGAGGCTCAGAGATGCAGCAACAAAACATGTGTTGAGTCAAACAGATATTTCTTTTAACCTACACAGGAAAACGTCTTATATTGGTTGAGGGTTATTTATGCTTGTGTGTAAGCTTCCACTTATTGATGTAGTATTGCTATTAATATTAAAACAAAAAATATTGCTGCTTCAAAAACAAGTTTTGTTTTGGCTCCCCCTTCTCTTTCACACACAAAAATACGGGCAGTTTTGAGTCAGAATTGCTCATTGCCTGACTGAATCGCTAAATAATTTCTGCCCTGTGTGGGACTCTATCTCATAGTGGCTTTACTTTCTTTAAAAGTAATAGAAGCAAGACAGAAAATTTGTAATCTGGAGGTTGCTGGCAGCCTTTCTGGCTTTTTTCCCTTTCCCATATACCCTGGGTTTCACACAAAGCTCAGCCCAGGGGTGGTGGCCAATGATCCCCCCTTCATCACACAGATACAGTGTAGAGACAGGTGATATTATGTCCTGGTCTGGTCGTACTGAAGCTCTCCAGGTCCCCAGGGGCTGTGTAGTGAGACCTCCCTGGCGCCAGGACCCGTTTTGGGCTTGGCAATGGGCAGCTGCCAGGCCGGCGGGATGTAGCCTGTGAGGTGGAGGAAGTGAGGAGCCAGTGTACAACCTGAACTTCGTCACCCTCAGCCCAAACCCTGAAGAGGAAAGCCTGCATGCATGACATCTTCCTGTTAGGAAATATTAATCACGGCCATGTCCAAACATGGTAAATGAAACCTCAGGAAAACCGCTCCTTTGGCGATCGAGTGCTGTGCACTGGTATATTCAGGAAGGCCCTCCTGCCTCAAAGACAGGACCCACCATCATCAGGGCACCATCTAGAATTACAGATTGCCTCTATGACATTTGCATATTTGAAGCAAAATCTCAGCTCATCCCTCTGTGGCTCTGTACCACTGGGAGCTGTGGCTGTTGTTTTATGGGCTGGAGAGAGTGACATGGGGTGAGCCAGGTAGTAGGGTGAAGCACCTGGAGAGGAGAAGCATCAATCAAGTACAGCAGAAAAATTGGCTTGAGGATGTTCTCAGTTCTCCTTGGTTCTCACCCTTGCCCTTTGCAGCTCTTAGGGCAATTCGTGGGGCTGCCCTGTCCGCGGGAATCACTGGCACACACCACGGCAAGACCAGGAGAAAAATCCTGCAGGCACCAGGGGGGCATAAACTGGTTGAGGTTTTGGGACTAGAGAGGATATTTTTCACCATCAGATTATTTCCCCCCCAACATTTTAGCCCCAGAGTTTAAAAGCTTTCACTGGTCAGAGGACTTAAGGTTGAGACTTTCACAGCAGTCTACTCTAAAAGAGCTGAGCCACACATTCAGGCTCTCACCTCTTTTCCCCTCTTCATGGTCAGACTGGGCACCTTCCAAACAAGACACCTCTGTTACCAAAAAACAAAAACAAAACAAAAACAAACAAACAAACAAACAAACAAACAAACAAAAAACCAAAAAAAAACCAAAAAACCCAAACAAACAAAAAAACAACAACAACAACAAAAAAAAACCCAAAACAAAACAACAAAAAAACCAAAAACAAACAAAAAAAAACATAAAAGGCATCCTAAGAGGTTTACAAGTAAAATAATATTCCTGGAAAGAGGTGCCAGCACTCTAGCTTGCAGAACTGTGTGGGAAACATTTTGGAGCTAAGGAGCTCACAATGAAGCACAGAGATACATGTGCTTGGGGAAATCCCCCCCCACCTCAATCCATCCTCCCTCACCTTCACGATAAATCCCCCTGGGGGCCAAGCCTCACATATAGGGCCCAAGTCCCTTCTTGGGATCCAATTCTTTGTGGGGAACAGTTCTTACTTGTGGGGCCTAAACCCATTTTTGTGATCAACCCTTGCCCATGGGGCCCAGATCCCTTTTAGAGGCTCACATGTCCTTGGGGGATCAATCCTTGCCTGTATGGGGATCAAGTCCCTGTGGATACAAAATGCTCTTTGGGGGCCAGACCTTGCAGATATGCAAGGGGGTGGGGGGAAAACCCCTTTTGGAATCCAAACTTTGCTTGCGTGCCCCAACTTCTCAGGGGACTGAAACCGTTTTTGTGGTCCAAGTCTTGCTTGTGTGGCCCAGAACCGCTGTGTGATCCAAGTCTGTTTTGGGTCCCAAGCCTTTCATGTAGGTGTCAAATTCCCTCGGTGTCCAGAAACCCCTTTGAGGGAGAAAACTTGCTTCTGGATCCTAACCACCTCATGGGGCCAAAAAACTTTTGGGAGGTAATTCTTGCTTGTGGGTCCCAAACCCCTGTGGGGATCAAAGCCCCTGAGGGGTTCAAAGCCCCTGTGGTGCCCCACTCCGTCTTGAGACCTGAGCTGTGCCTGTGGGTCTCCAACTCCTTGTGGGGAAACAAACTCCTTGCAGGATCCAAATCCCTTTCAGGAGCCAAGCTGAGCTGTGAGTGCCAAAACCACAGTGGGACCCCAATCCATCTTCGGATCCAAGCTGTGCCTGTGGCTCCCAAATCACTTGTGAGTCCCTGTGAGACCCAAATGCATTTTGGGGTCCAAAACCTTTACAGAGGACTTCTGGGTCCCAAGTTCCCTGTAGGACACAAATCCATTTAGGATCCAACTTTGTTGTGGGTCCCCAAAACTTCATATGGTCCAAACTCCCTGCGGGACCCAAATGTATTTCACGGCCCAAGTTTTGCCTGTGGGCCCCCAACCCTTCCTGGCCTCCAAACCCCTTTAAGTGCCCAATCCCCTTTTGGGGTCCTCACCTGCTTCAGGGTCCCAAGCCATCTGTGGTATTTACATGTGCTCTGGGGTCCAAGTTGTGCCTGTGAGTCCCTTGGCAGAGTCTAAATCCTTTTCAGAAGCCAACCCTGCGTGGTGGTCCCCAGATCGCTGTGGTGCCTAAATCTGTTTTGGTGCCCAACCTTTGCCTGCAAGTGCCAACCCTTTGTGATAGCCCAAAGACCCCGAGGTGCCCAAATTTGTTTTGGGGTCCTCCCAAACCCTTGTGGGCTCTGAACTCCTTGAAGCACCCAACACCATCTCGCTTTAAGGTCCCCAGACCCCTGTGGTGCACAAATGTGCTTTGGGGGCCAAGCTTTGCCTGAGACTCCAACTCTTTTTGAGCTCTGAACCCCTTGAAGTAGGTTTCCTTTTGGGGTCCACATCCGCTTCGGGGTCCCCAGCCCCTGTGATATTTAAATTCACTTTGGGCTTCAAGCTGTGCCTGCGGCTTCCCAACCCCTTGCAGAACACAGGCTCCCAGTGTGGCACAAATCAGTTTTGGGGTTCCCATCCCCCCCATGGTACTCAAACCTACCCTGAGGTCCAACCTGTGTCTGTGCCTCCCCGAGCCCTTGTGGGCTAGACCTCCCTGTGGGACTCTCATTCATTTTGGGGTTCCCAGCCCCCTGTTGTACTCAGAGACACTTTGGGGTTCACACTGTGCCTGTGGCTCCCCAACCCCTTGGGGGACACAGCTCCCCCACGGGACCCAAATCCATTTTGGGGTTCCCAGCCCCCCGTGGCCACTTTGGGGTCCAAGCAGTGACTGTGATTCCCCAGCTCCTGGTGGGATAGAATTCCCCCATGGGAATAAAATCCATTCTGGGGTTACCAGCCCCCGTGGTACTCAGAGACACTTTGGGGTCCACCCTGTGCCCGTGTGGGACACCCCGTGGGAACCAAATCCCTTTGGGGGCCTCCCTCCCGCCCGTGCCCCCTCTCGCCGTCTCACAGCGGTGCGGGGCTGTGCGATGCCCGCGGTCCCTGCGGGCGTTCGGGGCGGAGCAGGGCGGTGCGGGGCGGTGTGGGGCGGCGCGCTGAGATGCGGGGCGGTGCGGGGCGGTGCCTCCCGCCGCCCCTGACTCAGCGCCCCGCCCGGCGGGGGCAGGAAGCCGGGCGGGCCGGCCGGCCCCGCTCCTGTCACCGCCTGCGTCAGAGCCCGGAGTTTTCCACTGACGGAAAAGGGCAGCGCGGGGCGGCGCAGCCCGGCCCGGCCCCGGCAGCGGAGCGGGAGGCGCCGCGCCAGGCACCGCCGCTGCAGCCGAGACCCGCCGCCGCCGCCGCCGCCGCAGGTACGGACCGCCGCGGGCAGCCGGGATGGGCATGGGGGGAAGCGGCGCTGGGGCTGGGGAGAGCTCCGTGTTCCACCAACCCTGCGGCTCAGGGGTCCGCGCGGAGCCAGGGCTGTGCTTGCCCATCGCGGGGTTCGGACGTCGGGATCCCGGTCAGAGCCGTCCCCTTCGCCCGGGGGTCCCTTCCCGCGGTCCCTTTCGCCCGGGGGTCCCTTCCCGCGGTCCCTTTCGCCCGGGGGTCCCTTCCCGCGGTCCCTTTCGCCCGG